CCCCAAAACCCCAAAACCCCAAAACCCCTGAATGCACGAATTTATTAAAATTTTTTCGTAAATCAATATTGAAACATTTATTCCATAAATAATTCAAACCTCAAGCATATATGTAAGAGGTAATTAAGAGATGGAAATCATTCTTGATTAGCTGTTGCATTAACGATTTCTAAATTTACATGATTGCTAGTTCTATCTTTAAAGAGTTACTTTTACTTTCTAATTATACCTACGATTCCTTGGCTTATCTGAGCTTAGCTTTAAAGTTTCTATATTCTTATGTTATTCTAGGAAAAGTCCTCCTTTGATTTATTCTGGGTTTTAATATGCTACTATCTATTTAAGTCATTCATTTTGTTTCGTTGATTCATAAACTTGCGCCCATCATAAGTATTTGAGCTTGCACTTCGCTGTGCTATCTTCTCTTCAATCTTTTCTAATATAATTCCATCTTTATTCTAAGGCAATACATTTTAAAGTCTGTTGTGTGAGAAATGGACCATAGGTGACAGCTATTTCTAATGATACAAATAGGAAGAACTGTTATTGGTCATTTGAGGGAAGATAGATGAATGACCAAATGAACCATAATTTTCTTTATTGCCGAAAGAGCTGCTAATAAAGCATTAGGTATTTAACTGATTATTAATGTTACTAATGGAGGCATTTGCATTTACTATTGATGAATTTGTATTTGAGGATGATAGGGAAGTTAAATTTTATTTTAGGTTTTAAGGGTAAAGCGATGATATCTTTCTTCTAGTGGTTACTTTTTTAGAAGGTATCAATTGATTCTAAGGATCTTTTGTGGTAGTTACAATTTATTAGCCTTAACTCTAGATATCTTCAATTAGACCACTTTTATTAACTCTACAGCTATAATTGTTCTGATCCTTCATGTATTAGGAAGGGAAACTAGTTATTATATTAATATTGCCCTATATATTTAGTTGTTAAAGCTATTAAGTTTCCTTTGAAAAAGGTTAGCAACTATTGGAGTCCCTTTGATTTCTGCAAGTTGATTTAATTCTATTGGTCCTTGCCTGAAATATCTCAATAAAGCCAATGATGAGTCTAGATCTGAAGAGATATTTCAATTTATCGAGACCTTTTTAAACCTTAGTGTGAGAAGCTATTTGACTAAATAAGACCTCATTTTGCTTTGTACAGCTTTGCATCTTTTTTTCGAAGTTTGCTTATAGTCTTTTCAGTTCATTTGTTAAGAATTTCTGTTTATTTCTATCAACCATTCCATTATAGTCTTTATAACCACCATCAGATAATCCTTCAGAATTTTTTTTCTGATCTGAAGAGTAATACTAGAACTATGATTAAGGCAGAATTGGTTTTAATCTTTTCAATTTTCCAGGTCTACATCCTGTACACATGAAAATATCTTTTTCCATAGCAGAAAGCTCATAATCTGAGGACTCGTCCTTTTCTGATGTCTATGTGCAACTGTCCTTCATTCGTTTTTAAATTGAATTGTACTGAGTTTTATTTCCTCCTACCCCACTGTATTTATAAAGGAAGCTCTTAGTTCTATGATATGAATAAATTGAGGGATGAATAATTACGGTTTTTTAAAGTCATAAATTCCTCGTTGAGTTGAATGTCTTTTTCTTTATTAGATAGGTTATACTATATTTCCAAGTAAATTGTCTTTTTTATTCTCTGAATTGGGTTCAATTCCCCTATATTATTTAACCTATATTAAAACTTACTTTTTTTGGTTTTAAGACATTGAATTTCCCATTTAATTTCTTTTTCTTTTAAACCCACCTATTTTCTTTTTAATTACCTTTTGCGGCATTATTTTGATAAGTTCATTGGCATCTAAGTTATCATCAGATGGCTCACTATCACTATCAGTACCGCTACTTGACTCTTGATTATTTTCTTAAATTGTTTTTGACTTCTCTTCAGCTATCTTTTTCTTTAGTTCAAACATAATATCATCCATATTAATACTGTGGATTGTTGGTAGTAATGGCTCAGAATTCTAAATTTAATTTAGTTTCTTATCTAAACTTTGGGAAATTGGATTGATATTTCTTAGTAACCCATATTGTGGTCTCTTTGATTAGAATGATGTTTACTTATTAAATGAACTACAAGTAGTTTAGGAAATGCTAGTATTCAATGAGTTCTTTCTAATGTGATATTGCTTAATTTCTTCTATTTACTAATCTGGATTAACTTCACCAGTAGAATATAGAAGAAGTGTTTAACATAATTTTTTACCGATCTCCATTAGATCATTAGCAGTAAAGTGATAATTATACTTTTTAGCCTCATTCGATTTTGGATCAATATTATTTGGTGCTTTGGGACCACAAAAGGATGCTTCCATTGTGAAGATGTTGGGTACTTTTAATTCTCTCCAAAGTGTTACACGAGCTGTCGATTCTTTGTTCTTTTATATTTTGAATCTTGAATAATCATATGAAAAATGTGGGCTCGCTAATTTAGACATAAGATACGGGAAAATTCTAGTTGATTCAGCGCAATGAGATTCTGTATTTCCATACATAAAGACATTTTTTCGTCTACTGTGTCCATGCAAATCGCAACATAGAATAAGAGGTCTCTCGTTAGCAAATTACTTTATTAGTTATTTTGTATGGTATATAGTTGGATGTAATAGTTATGACGGGTATTTCCAACGTCTATTTAAGTCACAACCTGCTAATGAGCATCTATAATTACCATTTACTACACCATCTGGATTTAGCATTGGTATAATTTTAAAGACGAAATTATTTCTAAGAATTTGAGCTTCTTCACTATTTCCAATTAGAAAATCAATTACTCCTTTCATCATCCAACTTGCATTAGATTCACCAGGATGTACTCGGGCACTTATCACGACTCCTTTTTTCTATTATTACTTCTTTTAATCCATGCCTTATGTCCTATTTGTAATAGTCAGATACTCGCATCTATTCCCTGCTATAGTCCGGCATAAAGTATTTCTTGATACAAATTCTAGTTTACTTTTCTCTATATTTGTTAGATCTTCAATCAGATCAGAATAAGTATAAGGCTGAGAGTAAGCAAATAGTACAGTATCATAGTCATATTCAAATTTATGAGTAAATGTGAGAGTATAATGGCATCTTTGATAGTTTGTCATGTGTTCTCTTCTGAAATTATTCTAAAAATAATTTATTTCTTCTCCTCCTCTTGTCCATCCTTGCTTTTCAGAGATTAATTTTTTCTCAGAGTAAGTTAATACTTTCATTCCTTCATTAAATAAACTTTTAGGCTTGATAAAGTTTAAGAGATTAAATTTGACTTTCATATTCTTTCTAGTGTTCTGTATTCTGAAATAGAACCACTGAGTGTGACCTTTCGAGTTTATATCATTTTAGAGTATCAAGTTGTACTCATTATCAGAAACTTTATGAGCTAGTTGTAAATTGCCAGACTCAAATCTACTCTCAAACACTAATGTCATATCAGAAATACTTCTAGGAACATAATATGTTCTCTGAGGAGCAGGTATTTACTGGTATTGCTGAAGATATTTTTCGCCCTCTTCCTTGTAATTCAAATAATCCTTAATCGAAAGAGGTTAGTTTATGATTTGAGGTTAATATTATGTATCACCAGGTAATCCCTTAGTAAGTTTTTTAAGATTGCATGTGCGAATTAAAGATGAGAAGTTATTGGATTTAAATTTCTCATCTGCCTCATAAAATTACTTTCCAAATCTGCTGTAGACTATAGGATTTTTTTCACTAAATGGTTACTAAAAGAAAGTGAAATTACCTAGGGGCTACTTTTCTATATTCAAGATAGAAATAGTGTCTTAACGAAGTTTCAATAGAGGGATTAATTTCATCCGAAACTTTATTATCGTCTCTTTACGATTTTGGAATACCACAAACGGCTCTCTCTTTCTCCATCACATCTGGCCTTTTCAGTTCTCTAATAGTTTTAAGATGATTTAACCTACATAAATTTTTGCAAGAAACCAGATTTTATAGATTCTACTTATTGTACCTTTTTAGGAAGAAGTGGATTAGGAGGAGGTACCAATAGCAGCTTATTTGATTCTTTTTTCATTGACTTTGAACTATTATACTCATACATTCGCTTATTTCTAGTCTATTATCAAGCATTAAGACCTTCAATTTAAGTATTTACTTGGATAAGTTCATTGTTGTCAGAATAGAAACTATCAGCATTGAGAGGGTCTTCTCCCTCTTCATCAGGATTGATCTCAATATATTGTTGTATATTTTCATCATACTCATTGTCCTCATCGCTGTCACTGCTTGAATCACTGTTGCTGTTTTAATTTGAAAACTAAGAATGCTCATCATCACTGTTATAGCCTTCTTTTGCAACTTTATCTCTGAGGTCCTAATCACTCTCTTGATTATGATTGCTAGAATAAAATGGTTAAGATCAAATTTTTATTATTTATTGTATACTCACTCTGATGATTAAGGATTCGGATTAATACTCTCTTGAATAGATGCCATTTAATTTAGAATTTATTTCCCGTTATGAATTTAAATATATGAATAATCGATTACGTTTTTAGATAAAAATTATCTATTATGGGGTTTTGGGGTTTTGGGGTTTTGGGG